GCAGCCCCACGTAGCATGAGCTTGGCTCTTTTTAACCCCTGGGACTGTGAAGGGCTAGACTCTCCTTGGCCATTTGCAGCTGGCCAGCGCTGTGTTGATGGAGGAGGGCAGGGGAACAGTAAGTAATAATGTCACCATCAATCACCAATTGCCACAGGGAAGCCTCAGGACTCGTCTAAAACACCGCTGCCCGAGTGGTGTAAATATTTTATTAATGGCTGCCTCAGTTTGCAGTGTTTTCATTATTGCTCACACCGGCAGTGCTCACACTTTGTATTATCAGCAAGGGAAGCCACAGGGCATCTTGTTTCTGACCCCCCCCCGCCCTTGCGCTAATGGGGACTGCCGGCAGCTGCAGCAGCCCCTCCGCACAGGCAGGAGCCCTCAGCAGAGGGAAGCGATGCACATCCCCAGCAGACGGTTCCTGCTCCAGCAGGGGGCTCAGGCTCAGGCAATCCCGTCATGTCAGAGCAGGGCAGGGCAGGGCACTGGCCATGCCAGGATGAACTGAGTAACCTGCCGTTAAGAGGCTTTTCCATTTCCTCTTGCTCTGCTTTTACCATTCACAGTCTGCCTACTGCAGGACAAAAGCCTCTTCAGCACTAATCCTGCCCTGCTGTGGATTATTTTCCATGATGGAGCTACCCACAACCCATCAAATGGCTTGTCATCCACCCTCCCAAGCAAAGTAACATTCTCAATCAAAAGGATTTTACCTTTTTTGCCCCTCAAAGGGCACCAGTCCAGATGAGAAGGGGAGCTGAGTACCAGAGACCCCTGACTTTGCTGGGTGCTCATCTACTGCTCTCAGTGGGATCCCTGTAACACTCCTGCCACTGCTGGCATTTTAAAAAAGCAAAGGCAAAAGAGACAGAGGAAAGAGCCTTCCCTTCCCCCGTCCCCTCCCATAAGTCATTTTCTCTGGCCTATTTTACAGGAACTGAAAATCTATTAGAGGAATAGCTTAATCCGGTTTGACTGTAATAATTAGGGTGCTTTAAAAAAACCCTGACTAATCGTATAAAATGTGATTGTAGACAGTTCAGTGCACGACCCTTACACTTATTACTTGAGGTATTATTACAAACCAGAAACAGCTGGCAAGCACGGAGGAGGGTAAAGGGGGGGGGGAAGAAAATCGCATGCAAAGGGACAGAGACTGTTCCTTTTCTGATCTCGTAACAGAGGCACTGGCAGCACCTTGAGCTGTCTTTCTAAGGTGGATCTAAAGCATGAAGTCACCTCCAAGACCCTGGACAGACACCTCTGTTTTTGCCAATGGTGTGCCCCACCAGCCACGGGGTCCTGCTGTCAGCACCTCCTTTTCTCACACTGTGTTTGCAGGCAGTCCAAGAGGATTTGGATCAATGGTGGAGCGATTCCCCTCAGAGCACGCTGCAGTCAGCAGATGTTTGTAGCAACAATGGGCAGCTTTTCCAAAACAAGACAGCCTGTATTAGTCAAGCAGGATATAGTGCTTTGGGGTCATTGGGTTATGACAGAAAAGCAATGCTTGCTTCCATGTCTTGGCTGGCAGCAACCTCTTTTTCTCTTGCTCTCAATCTTTCTCAGGCTCCAACAGCCACAATGTCTTCCTCCTCTTCCAGAGCCTAGGCTGGGGGCAGCTGAGTTCCCATCACGGCATCACTGCACCTTTTAGTAAAGCTATTTTTTTCCCCACACGTTCTGCCAGTTATTCCGCAGGATTGCTGCCTGCTCAGTATGTCCCTTTGCCCACAAGATGAGCTCATCCATGCATTGACACTTCTTGTTCATCCCTTCCTACCACTCCAGATAGGACAAACAAACTGTCCAGGCACCCATCCTCTGTATGACTGTCTCAGAAGACAAATCGACTCTTCCAGTCCCAGTGGCCCAAAAGCGTATGTTGGTGGTGAATTCAAAATCTGAGCCCACTGCAGCACTCTATTATCATGGAGAAGATTGCTCGAAGGGACTCATGCTTTAGCAGTGTCAGTCACAGATGAAGAGGTTGGAGCTGACTTGACTTGGCCATCACATAAATGTTGGGAGAAGCAGAGGGAAGGCTCTTGTTCATCGGTACCATTCAGAGCTGAGACCGAGCCCTCACCAGACACTAGCTCACAAAAACACTACTCTGTAGAGCCAGACAGAAGCTTCAGACTTCACAGAGAGATGGCAGCCAGGATGAGACTGCACTAGCACCGATATGCTACTTTAATCAGCATTGAAAACGTATGATAAACCTTGAAGGATGCTTTTAAAGACTGAAATAACAAGATGTACTACAATTTCAATGTACTCTCTCTCTCTCTCTCTTTCTCTGTTACTGTGATTAAAATATGTGGTTGATCTTGGAAGCTCTATTGCAGCTTGTATAAAAACCGTAATAACAACATTGACAGTAATGGAACTTGCAGCTGGAGTTGGGTTGTTTGGTTTCGTTTGCTCTCCCATGAGTCTTCCTTGGGTCTTTTTTTTCCATTCTGCTCCATACACATTTCAATCTTTCCTTTATTAAATAGGAATGGTTATCCCCACTGACTCACTTATCTAATAATAGCTAGAACCCTTTAATTCAAATTATTTGATTCCTGGGTTTTTTTAGATTAAAGTAAACATACAGTTAGAGTATTACTGGGAGAGTGGCAATAGAAATACCATGGTCAAATTATCCTGTGACTCAATTCTGCAAAGCGCACTGAATCCCTTTTAATACATTCCATAAGTACTCACTGGTGACCTCTAACACCAGAGTGGTTTCTGTCCTATGGTAGCTCAATTTCACAATTCTGGATACACTTTTTTTTGGAAGGAAAGCCATCCAAAGGTTTTTATAAAACGTTCTTTAGCCTTTGGGAATGAGCCAATTAAATGCCAGGGTATCATTCAATTTCAAAGAGTTGAAGGACTTGAGGAAACACAATCTGCTTTCTGAACAATGTGAGATGAATATAGTAGTGATTTCATTAGAAACCAAGCTGCACAGTTTGGATACAGAGCTCAACTTTTTGAAAGTTCAGCTGCGGCTCTTGGTTTGTCAGCTGTATTTCCCTGCAGCGCTCTTTTTGTAAAGGCCCTTCTGAAGGATCCTGCTCCAACATAGATGAACACTTGCATTGGGAGTAGCTGGTAAAGGAGACGTTGCTGCCAGCCAAAGTTTCTATCATTCATTGGCCTTAAAATGGGAAGGGAGGGGAGGTCTCTCCATAAAGTCAAGAATCACCAATAGAAAGCATCTCCACTTGCTTTGAAGATCACCTTGAGTTTAATTCCTATTTTTCTATTTGCAATTGAAAAATGGGCAGGAACATAGGGAACAAACCCCCAGTGATTAAAGGGGAAAACAGCAAGCTCTGAAAATGCCTCCTGAAAGCCAGAGTCACCTCGGGTCCCTTGTAAAGACACAGTCTCTGCTACAGCCACATTCACCTGCACCAGGCCACCCGCCACCTCCCAGCCCACAGCACGAGTCACCAAAAAAAACCTGCCGGAGCCACAGAGACACTCAGTCACATCTAGCTTTATTTTAATCCCGTCAGAAAAGTTCAAGAATTACACCAAAAAATACTTCAGTCTCTGCTACCTACTGACAAAAAATACACCACAAAATTATAAACTGTTCAGTGGTTTGCTGGAGTTTTGATTGTTGGTGGAGGAGGTGGTTTGTACATTTTGAGTGAGAAATGAATTTACAGGTGGAAGGGGAAGGAAGGATAGGAAATCAGACAATGGCATTTGGCACTACATTTTTAGCTACACTATACAGTTATTTATCATGATGCCTGTTAGGACTGAGGAGTTCTGCCCTCATTTACACCCTCTAGTGTCTATGTATGCGAAATGGAGGACAAAACTGCCCAATGCAGGGGGAGAAGGGGCCAGTTCCTAATTTCCATCCCAGTCTAGCCACAAATCTGAAAAAGCAGCCTTAGTCAAATGTGAACCTTGCCCTCCCTGTGCACTCTGCTCCTGCTGCTCAGTCTCACCCTGCCTGCACTACCAAGGAGCAGAGCTGCTTTGCAGCAACAGCTTGCAGCTCTGAGAAAAGAGAATCCTTTTTTTTTTTTTTGAATCCCACCAGTCTGCACTAATTGCATATGCCATTTGTGGGGAGAGGATGTTTTACATTGGACAGGACTGGATTAAGCTTGGGGTCTGGTCTGTGTTTGCAAGCAGAGATTTGATGGGACCCTTCTACTCTGAGAGCATGCTACAGCCATCCCTCTCTACCTAGAATGACATTAAATACTGAAGTATCTGAAGTTGAAGGAGGGAGGCAGAAGCATCCCATTTCATGGGTGAGGGAAAATTAGGGGCTGAAAAGTTAGAGGCTTAATACTGTTCTATACTATCACCACTCTTGAGAGGCTCCTCAATTTCTAATGGCATTTCTTTGTCTCTCGGTGACCCTCTGGAGGGAGGTCCCAAAGGATGAAGCCTCATATAACCTGCCGAAGGTCATGCAGGAAATGTGTGTCAGCAGCAGAAATGAAGGCCCAATCTCCTGACTCCTAGCCTCGTGCTCAGAAGTATGTTCTTGATTTCACTACGGAAGCCTCTGTCTGCTTCCATCCTGCTCCACACCCAAATACCAACCAGGATTTCAGCCTCAGAGCCTAGCCAAGATCACTAGCACAGTGGCAGCTCATTACAAATGCCTAGATCTTTCTGGATTTACTTAGGCCACTGTGTAGGGCTGTGTGTGCATGTGTGTTTGCACATGTGTATGTTTGAGGGAGGAGGGGATGCTTGTATTTCTCTATCAGCAGATGAACACTGACGCTAGATTCAATTTGACAGCAACATATCCCCCCTTTGGCAAGCTAAACAACATCACAATGTCTTTGTAACAGATTTTCTCTACCCTCTCTCTCGAAAGGATTTCAGCCGTTCCTTCACTGCATGTTAAGCCATGTCATAGCTTTCCAGCAATGATAAAACTTTGCGGGATTCTCTTTGCTGCTTTTATCGTCTCTGGCTGTTTATCTAATTTGCTTTTTTTGTTTTTTAATTTCTTTTTCTAACAAATAGTTAAGCAATGATTTAAAAATATTTTTACATCGTAAGGTACAGTCAACATCAAACATGCCTTTGTACAAGAGCTCGACTCGATTACAAATCAACGAGAACAATGCACGAAAAGAAATATCCATTAAGATGACTCCTGCACTTGGGTTTTATTTATTCCTGTCGTGCTGTTAGCACAGCACCCTCAGCTAGAGCAATGCAGTATAGACATGGTGTTGTCCCCCCACCCTCCCACTTTGCCCGTCACCACTTGTTAACCTTAATGACCTTCTGTCTTGGCAGCCTTGGCTTCGTGGTTTACCGATCCTGAAGACAGCCAGGGCGATACGGCCCGGGAGCTGGTCTGCTTGGCCATGCTGTAGTGGCTGATGACGGTGTAGAACCTGCCCCGGGAGTTGGAATCCTGTGCGGAGTAGTACGCGTCCAGCGAGGCCGGGATGCACCGCTTGTGCTGGAAAGGGGAAGAAAGCAAGAGAAGTAAAGAGTGGTCCCATCAGCCTCAGGCTCTCGCTTTAAAAATCCCAGGGTTAGCTGTTTGCATGGATGATGTTTGACTCAGTCTTGCTGCAGCAAGAGCATCTGCTACATAGCCCTGACTGCCTTCCAGTGCCATGGGAAGGCACAAAGTTTAGAGTAGGGCAGCGGCCTTCAAAACCTGTTGCTATTGGCACCCCTGACTACAGGCTGATTTCATCCGTGGATGGGAAATGGGGACTGTAAAATGAAGGTCTGACTGGTTTGGTACCTTACTGGCATGCACAGAGACCAAGGCCCCTTGCTGGAGTCCTAGCAGGGCTGGCTGAGCAGCTCTTATCATGTGCTGGACTGAAAGCTCTGTAGAGCGAAGTCCAGAATTAATCCTCAGACAAGTAGAGGACAGGCAGAGGCAGAGTAAGCTGCTTACGTGCTGCTCTGTTGCAGTGTTATCTCTGACCTGTAGGACGACCACCTTGGTCAGGGATGGTAGGAAGCCCTTGTCAGAGCTTCTTGTCTGTGCAGACACTGCCCATGCATCTCTGCTATGCTAGTGCGGACACTTGTGTGCTAAGAACTGCACAGATAAAACAATTCACTTTGCAACAGCTGTAAAAGAGCAATCAAATGGTAGCAAATGTCGGACTGGTTGGTATTCACCAGAGTCGAAGTAGCACCAAGGACACAAAGGGCCCCAGGTACAATTATTCTTAAATTATGAGATACCCCAACTCCCAGTTCAATGTGACTAGCTGAAATCTGAGTCCAAAACCTTTAATCTCTTCAGAAGTTCAGGTTTGGATCTGATTCTGAAATTCATGACTCTGTCCTAAGTTCATTTTTATATAACCTAAGAGAATAATTCACAATGACTAATACACCAACATCCTTACTCTATCTTCCAGCCCACGGACTATCCCCAGTGTGGTCAAGACTCCTGTGAGTTTATGAGTTTATTCACAGTAAGGAGTCAGTGAGTCAGTGAACTATTTTGCAAACGTCTTTTCTTTTTTTTAAATCTCAGCAGACCAGGCAAATAGTTCTCTGGGAATATTCAATATAAAATCACTGGGCAGAGGGGTTTTAGCAATTAAGTTACATGGTTTTGTTCTTGATAGAGGCTCAAAAGCACCTAAAAATGAACTGCATGAGCAAATTCAGTTTTCTTTCACAAAGGACACATGTGCCAGCACTCTGGGAGTTTGCTTTGCATTAAAATGTATGCCAGTAAACCTCAGTCACTTGAACGTGTGGGAAGTAAACGCGGGATTCCAGCTGCAATAAATCCATTCACAAATATGAGGGATTGTTCCTGAACATCTGTCTGCACTGTTCACCAAATGCTAATCCCAACAATTACAGTGTAACAGTAGCTGATGGAGGCAGATGCAAGTCCACATTTCCCATAACACTTTTCCCATTTCAACACGTTCTTGCCAAATGTTCTGTTTGGCCTGGTCAAAAAAGCAGACTAGACTGTAACCATGCAGTCAATTAGAGTCTATCATTATCTCAGGCAATTCATGCGTCTGAAGTTTCTTACCTTATAAACAAATCCATCTGGGCAACTGTGGTCATAAGTAAAGGCTTTGTATACCACAAGAAACACTATGCAGGCAAGGAATGCAAGAGCCAGACTTATGAGAATAGTGACCTACAAAAGAGGGATAATGTTACTCTACATATGTTAAAATGGCATATGAGCAACCTCATAATTAAATGACTTATAGTAACAGCCATCCTAACAGACTGCAGTCCTCACTCCACTGTGCAGTACTTAACTAAGCATGGTAATTGAATGAATGCTAGGTCCAATAGCCCTGAATTCTCACATCATTTCCATCCCCGCACAGACCTTCAGGAGTGCACATTCCTGTGCTTAACCCCTTGCAGATGTATGGATTTTACTGAGGCATTTGGTGTTCTCGGAGGCTTTGTGTTCCCATGCTCTCAGCTGTTCAACGGGCAGCATCGTCTGCTGGCCCAGTAGGATCCGCCAACAGCCAGAGTCCACATTCAGGGTCTAATCTGTGCAGATAAGCTGCCTTATAACTATGGCGAGATCCTGCTTTTCTGATAGCAGAGGTAGGTGAGCAGGTAGGAAGAATGAAGCCTTTGTAGCACACATCCCTTTGTGCCTTCTGGGCGATGCAACAAGGATAAGTTGTGCCTCAAGTACCTTGCAGAAGGGAGGGTGGGAGTAAAGGGAATCCTTCTCTATTTAATAAAGTTGTAAAAAGAGAATACCCCGACCACCAACAAAGCCCAGCATGTAAATCCCACAGCATGTCCAAGAGCAGATGCTGGTGTTGGAGGTACCAGACACAATACCCTCTTTGGGGATCAAATATTTCCCCTCTCCTCATTCCCAAGCAGGTGACTTTGCTGCACCATTCTGTTTCTTTGCTGTAGCTCCCTCGTCCCCAGCCCTTCCAGGTCCTTCTTAAATAGTTCATTCAACAGCAAGTTTCCTGGCCCCATTCAGACGTCTGGACTGAGGCCCTTGACCCTTTGTTTTAGCTGAGCTGTGTCCTCCCTAAGGACTAAGCAAGGGTCCCAAATGCACTCTCGTTCTCTCCTTCCCCAAAGCTTTCTTGGTCCCAGCTGGTAATTCTGCAAATGCAGCACAAATGGCTCCGGACTTCTACTGTTTAAATTACAGCAACCCATCCTGTCGAGACTGCTGTCTCACACTGATCTGGATTGGCATGAAAAAAAATCATAATCCTTGGGGCTCTAGTGTTACCATGCAAACTGGAGTACCTAATCAAAGGAACTCACTTACAGAGATGATGGGGGTGGGAACAGCAGTAGGGGAAATATTTAAACCTGTTGTATGGCCAGCAGCATGGGGAGGGAGCTGCGGCAGCTCCCCAGCTTGCTCTGGCTCGCTGGGACTGAACACCAGCAGCATGCATTTTGCAGGATGTTTGCCTGCATGGGGAAGGGGCTGCAATGTTTCTGTGCTCAGTGAGCCTGTGAGAGCTCACGCTGAGGAAGTTCCTATAGCAAAAGTTTGAGGTCAGCCATGGGTTTACAGGAGGGGTAGTGATCAGTGAGGCTTTTTCCTACCCACAACCTCAACCTATTTGCTTCAGAATCCCACTTTCCCCCCATGACACCAGAAGCCGAGCCCAGGCCTGCAAATTTTCCCTGGTCACATCAAAACCCATCCACTGAGAAAACCACAATGGTAGGACATGGCAGGGACTGTGTGCCTGCCCCCAGCTAATGCCCCTGCCTGCAGGCATGCTACCACATACCTGCACATACCACACATGTGCTCATCCTCCAAAACATGCCCCCGTCCCAGTATCAGGGCTGCACCTACCTGTACTAAAGGCAATCATGATCATTTATTGCCCTAGCAAGGAAAAGCCACAAATTTTTCAGCTCCATCTAGTCATTCACGGTTCATCCACCCTTTTGTCGTTACAGTTATGTCACAATCCTCTTTGTTTTCTTGTATGGGTGTTCAAGGAAATTGAATAGTAGGTACAGGCAGAAGTTGTTCCTTAACTAATGTATAGGAGACTCGTGATAGCAGAAAGTGGGGGGATACAGAGATAATTCCTACAGTATACTGGACAGGCTTGTCAGGAACAGCAGCTAATAAAGAGCAAGCTGGCCACATCTCAGAATTAATCAATATAATATTATTAATATAACAACAATATTATGTAATATTAGTAATATTATATCGATAAAGATATACTAATTGCTTAATACTGGTTCACACTGAATTTTGCTCTAATTCTCTCCTTCGGTCATCGTAGCAGCTGTAATTCTGAGAACCTGTATGATATGCAATCCCTGCACAGACTCAAAGGGGCCACTGTAATTGCTTGCAGTGCAGGAAAAGATTTCTCATCCTCATCAATCCTGCAGAAAGATGCACTGCCTCGTGAGATGTATTCCTACATCTCACACAGCACATTGGGACTATTACTCAGAGAAGCTAAAGCCCCCCTTCCAATCTCTGGAAGATCCAGAGATACAATTTTGGTGGCTGTTTTAAGACAAAAAGAAAGAGTGAAGGTAAATCTGCATGTATGGTGTTAAATCTGACCCAACACAACCAGTTCAAAAGTCAGGAAAGAGAGAGGTGTGGAGACTATATCTAGCAGGAGAGATTCCTAAGTTCATTGTTAAGTCAGAATATTTTAGAATAAAGTATAAAAAGGTAAAAAATTGGGGCTAATAGGCTTTTCCAGTGATGAACAGTCCACTGAAGCCCCAACCTGCCTTTCAGAATAACTGCTGATATTAACCTCCTCCTTGGGGCCTAATCTGCTGCAAAATGGGTCAATTAAGCAAAAGGCAGCTGCAGAGGGAGAAGCACTTACTGCTGGATCTCATCAGAGAACATGTGTAAGAGAGTCCTGGTGTGCTGAAAAGGTAGCTGGTAGGAAAGGAGTACAGCTGTATGAATTGCACTAGTCTGACCAAGAAAATATGGGCACCACCTCCTTTCCATCAAAGCACACCTGCCTGCAAGTTTGAATAATTTCAGACCAGCTTTATGGTAGCCCGTGGGTTCCCAACCTGGGGAAGCCATGTCCCTTTTCATAGTGCTGAAGAGGAAGAAGTCTCAGTTGGATTCAAGGGAGATGGAAATGGAATTTGCCATGATTTCTGCCCCCAAAAGAAGTCATATTACACCTGAAAAAATGAAAAAAAGTTACTTTGAAAAAGTATAGTCAAGAGGAAAGACTTCCTGGATTAAGTATGCCAACAGGAGACCTGGGAAAAAAGACCGCTTTCCAAAAAGGCCCATCACAACTCAGCTCTGGCAGGCCAATGTGGAAGAGCATTTCCCCCTGTAGAACACATGTTCATCAACTCTTCCCCATTTAAAAGGGGAGCATGTTAGGCCTGGTACTTCCTCCAACAACAATTTATGTAGTAATACAAAGATGACAATGATACAAGTCCCCTTTGAGGTTAGTTTGAAGGCACTAAAGCAAGATGTACATCTTGCTCTACCAAAGCCAATGTTTAGAGGGCAGCCCTGGCTAGAAATTCAGAAAATAAGAAATGCTCAGCTCTCCAGTTTGGTTGTTCTGCCCTAAATACAATGTACAATGAAAAAAGAAATCCTGCTTGAGTTAAGCTGAAGGAACAAATTTGTGCTCAGGGCAAAGGAAGAGACAAAGGGCAGTGAAATTACACCGAATGCCACCTGGGAATGCATAGAGCGTAACTCAGCCAGAAAGTACTTCTTGTTCCTGAGAAATAAGAAGCTGCTCATCCTCTAGCTTTCTTTAGTAAATACAACCTTCATCATCAGGGCTAGCAACAGCTGCCCACCAGCAGGATGCATACACCCTGTGCTATGATTCCTCCTGCCCTAATGTCTACCTGGTTCCTCTCTCCCCCTCTGCATCCCCATTTCCTCCATCTCAGAGGGATCCCTCAGGGCTGACTGCATCCAGAGAAGAGGCTGTGAAAGGAGAATACCCCTGAACTGTCAGATGTCTCCCTCACCCTGAATGACTCTGTGTCTGCCTTCCCCAAGAAATTGCATCAAGGCTGCTTTGAAGGCTTCTCACTCTGAGCCAGTTAAAATGGCCAAGTTCTTCCTTTAGCCTTCAGAAAAAGAAAAAACCAACCTGCCTGGAGCGAGAATGAATGCCCTTTCTTTTGTTAAATCCCACGTACATGCACAGCCTATGGAAATGACCATTAGTAATGCGAGTTGACTGGTTCCTTTCCTCTTGTCTGCCCACTGAGCCCCTAAAAATAATAAATTCCCCTCTGCTCTGTCACTCTGCTCTGGCAAAGTGCTGACACCCAATTCATTACCTCCCAGGAGCAGGTCCCTCCGCTGAGCTCTCCCCTCCCTTCGGGGTGTAATTGAGCCCATTCTCACCTCCCTGCTGCCATTTCATGCACTTGCAAAATTACAGCATGACACAATATTACACATGATGATACATAGTGTAAAATTGCTCTGGGATGAAATGTCACGTAAGATGTTAAGACCCAGAGGAAAGGGAAGAAAAATCCACCCCCAGATATTTTGCCACACCAGAGCTAAGAGTCACCTCTCTAGCTATTCCAGAGCATACAAAGCTTCATTAACATTCAAACACCAAAGAATCACAGAGCTGCAATACCTAATAAACCTCCACTTTTTTTTATGATTAACATGAACCTTGGCAGTCTCTAAGCAATATAAACACTCACAGAGGGGAAATAAAATTTAGTGAGCAGATAAAACCTAGAAGTGCTACAGGTATGAATCTGTCACGTGCGACTGCGCGAGTGGCTAAAAGAAGGGGGGGATTCACCCGCCCCTTTCCCAAAGTCGTATATTGTTGCCAAAGGTTCCCTTAAGAGGGGAGTATCTGCTGGAATGGAGAAGAGAGAACATCGTTACCATACCAAAAAAATTCCCAATCCTCCACAAAACATGGAAAGAGGCCCTTAGCATCAGTGAAAGATGATGTCAACCTCCCATCAACAACAGCGCGCTTGGCTTGGTTCCTCCCCACCTTTCCCATAGATGAAGTACATGTTGCATTTTCACAACAGCACGGATAAAAAAAAGATATATCCTCATCAAGCAACAGGACATAAGTTGCCACTAGGTTTTGTTCCAGCGAGATGATATCTAATTGCAATGGTGTTCCAGTTAACCTGGCTTTCATG